CTGGGCCCCTGAACTTCGATCTTGAGCTTGGGGATGAAAGCTGTTCTTTTAGAGCCCTATGGGACATCACGTATCAGGATTTTGGGGAGACGTGGCCCCCCTTTTTTTACCGTCCGACTTTGAAGTTTATATTTTTTTTTTTTTTTTTCCCCTCCCCACCACGCCCCTTTTTTGTAGCTGTGGTTCGCTCTTGCTTTCTTAACCTCCCTTCCTGTCCGAAATGGGCACCCTGCCGTAGGTAGGCCCCGCTTTCGCCCCTTCCCGCCCCTTGCAGGCACTGGCACTGCCTTGAGTGCGCCAAGATGTTGCTCATGCAACGACACGGGTGCGGGCACTGCAAATGCCCTGTGCTCACATGGACCGTGGAGCGCTTGGCGCCCCCGCCTTTGTGAGATGAGAGAGTGGCCAGTGGCCACTGTGAGATGAAGGATTGGGTCCCGGGCGAATGTGAGATAAGGGGTGGGTCGGGCGCGAAGCGGCAGCCGAGGAGAGTTGGAGCCGTGCAAAAAATGATAGTAATTTGCTCACGCGCCCGGGGTGTGCGGACCGTTGGCGAATGGCGCTCCACGGTCGGTATAAGCCTGTGGGGCTGCGGCCGCTGAGCGCTGTGGGTGTGGCACGTGGCACGCGGGGCGCGCTCCGGGTGGCGCTCCGCGGACCGCGGTGCGCGGCCGACTGCACGCTAAAGGCTACACGCTCGCACACCACTTGCAGAGTGGCTCTCCCGGGCGCTCAGCCCACGGCGGAGGCACGCCAGGCCCCGGGCAGCCGGCCGTCACTCGCCTAAGCGCCTAAGCGGCCTAAGCGGGGGGGTGCTTAGGGTGCTTAGGCGCTTAGGCGGCCCTTGCGAGCGTGGCGGCGTGGTGGTATCGTAATACAAGTGACTCCGATGACACACATGATGCTCTTGCTAGTGTCATTGCTCAGAGAGCAGCCTCACCGCGTCGAAAGTCTACCACTGGCCCTGGTCGCACACCGCCGCTGAGCTGTGATGATGCCCACAGCACCAGCAGCAAAGGCGGGCGGGCCGACCCCGCGGCCATCGCCGCCGCTGCCGCCTCCTCCGCCGCCGGCGCCGCCCCCTCTGCCGTCGCCGTCACCTTGGGCTGCATCACCCGCGCCGCCGCCGCGCACCGGCTCGTGCTCATTCAAAGGCGCCTCGAGTTGCAGGCCAGCGGCGCTGACGTTGTCGTGGTCGGGCTGCCCAACGTCGGCGCGGGAGGGAGGGGGCAACGCCGTTATGAAGAGCGCGAGAGCGAGCGCCGACGGCCCAGATTCTGAGCAGCAGCCCGCCTGGTCATGGGCCCACTTGCCGCGACGTGCGTCCAGCATTCCAGTATAGGACGAACGCCGAAGTTTGCTCTCCGACGTCGTGCCGAGCGAAACCTTTTCCTTCGAAGCCCGGCGACGTAGCCGGGCGAGCGGAATAGGGCAGCCCTAGAGAGCACATTGAGGCCATTCAATAGAGCCCGTACTATAGTCGAGAGTCGCTCGCCGGCCGGCGCAGTGCTGCTCTGACCGCTCCGCCGGGCCGCCTCCGGGCCGCCGCCGCGGAGACGTGCACATAGGCAAGTTGGTATTTTCATATATGAACTTCAAAATAGTATTGGCTAATCTAATCCTACTCATCACAACTCGCCAGGAACACCCCCACACTATAGGGTCATTGTGTAGCCCTGCTTAGAAGGAAAAGGTTTTCTGCAAGGTCCGTATGCCTTACCGTGTAGTCGGCCGCGCGCGAGCCGCGACTCGTGGCCGTGGCCTCGGGTGAGTCGTGAGTGCGAGGAGTATCGTGGTGGACATGTTTGTGACATGAAAATATCATAACCCAGCTCGACCGACGGCACCGAGCACAGCCCGTCGGCCGTCTCTGAGAGTGATGTGGTCCGGTCCCCGGGTGCTGCCTCTCTGTCAGGAGAGCAAGAGCGTATCTCTACGATTTCTCTGTCTCTGTCTGCTGCAGCCCATCGGGGACCCCAAGTATCAACGCGGCTGCGCTGGTCGCGCGTGGGGCAGCCTCGCGCGCAGGCTGCGCTTGTCGCGGTGGGCAGAGGCTGGCAGGCGAGAGAGGCGGGAGGAGGGAGAGGGCCCTCACTGCGCCGTCAGTGTCTCTCGTGGCGGCGCACCGCGTTGTGGTCCGTGGGCAACCTGAGGAGGCGGCCCCGGTACCGGAGAGGGTGCAGTCCTCGGCGTAGCAGCAGCGGCGGCGGCGACGGAACGGGTCAAAGGCGCACAATGATCTTGGGCGCGTTGGGGCCTACTCGCCGACGTGTCGTCCACCTTCCCTGCTGTAGTCGCCCTGTCCATAGGCTCGTCCACGGCCGACGGTGTCGGCATTTGCCGCCGATGGCGGCCGCGCGGCGATAACTACAGCTCAGCTAGTGCTTGCGTGCAATGGTCTCTCGCGGCGCCAGTGGGAAGAAGAAGAATTCGTGCGCCACTCGCCGACCACTAGAAGGCGGCCCACCCACTACGCGCACTATCTTAGTGCGCGGGGTGGCGGGAGGCACTCACCCACTAGCCCGCTCGCCGGCGGCCCACTCACTACGCGCACTATCTTAGTGCGGGGGGCGGCGGGAGGCACTCACCCACTAGCCCGCTTGCCGGCGGCCCACTCACTCACTATACGCGCACTATCTTAGTGCGCGGGGTGGCCGGAGGCACTCACTTCCGCGCACTAACTTAGTGCGCGTAGTAGCCGAGCCCGCCTCCGTCACATTGGGCTCTCCCCCCCTTCTCGCCAACCCACTAAATTGCAGCAGAGAGAGTTCTCTGCGCCTCGAAGTACTCGAGTGCAGAAAACGGCGGACCAGCTGCTTCCCCCATATGGCGCTTGCGCCGCGCAGCGTGGGCGCGGCATCCGGGACGGATGCGGGCCGCTGTCTCGCGGGATCGCTGGGAGCCGCTCGGCTCCCCACGCGCCGCCGAGCTGCAATGGCGCCACCGCAACGGCTGCCCCTCCTCGGCTCCCGCCCCGGGGCTGCCGAAATAGGCGCCCCGAGCCACCGTTTGCAACATCCGCGCGGAACGGCGGCGCTGCCGACGCCCCCCACCGGCAAACACCACCAGAAGGGCGGTGGTGATCGCTCCCGGTCAGAAATGTCGTCGTCGTCGCGCAGTTCCCTAGTGTCCGCCCGGCGGCGGCTGGCGGCCAAAAATCCGGATTTTCGTCTCCCGACGCGAAGATATGTCCCGAGTCTCACTACACGCCCCTCCATCCTGTAGGTCCGGACCTTTGCCTGCTCAGTAGCCGCGATGAATCGTCGCCCTCATCGTCCGCGGTCATCCTTTCAGCCTCAAACGGGCCAAACGACTGTCTCGCCATCAGCCATCTCGCCTCTCGCGGTCGCGTCACGCCTTCCCTCGTGCCGCGAGTAGGCGCGTGAGTGATGGCCCTGCCGCCAGGTACACGGCTACACCTCGGGACGCCGTGCTGAGACGGTTAGAGCCGCCCCGCGGGAGCGAAAGCCGCCTCGCGCGCCTCAGCCCGCCGGGCCCCTCGGCGGGCCAGTGTGGGGTGGATACGGAGGTGATAAACCCCTCTGACAGCAGCGCCTCACGGCGTGGGCTGCGAGGTCACTCGGGGTGACCCAGGGGGCGGCGGGGGAGCACTCTCCCGCCGGAGCAGCGGGTGATATTCCCGCTACTCGCTCGAGTTTGACGTGCGCCGCGCCTCGCCTGTGCTGCCTTCCCGGCTGCCCCAGCCGCCCTCACCGTCCTCATCCCCTCCCCCACCCCCTCCCCCTCAGGCTAGGCCCTCGCCACCGCGCGCTGCCGCTGTCTCCGCCACAGCCGCCGCCGTTTCCCTCCACCCCACCCCCTCCGACGCCGTCGCCTCCGCTGCTCCCGCCACCACCGCCGGCCGCCTCAGCTCTCCCTCGCCCACTTCCCACACACCAGCACCGCCCTCCGCGCGTCCCCGCACGCCGCCTCCGCGCCTCCACGCCCCCACGACAACCTCCCGCCCCGCCCTCCCCGCGTCTCAGACCTTTGGGCGTGCTCCGCACGGGGCGACTCGGCGCCGCCGCCCTCGC